TCATTGAATGAAAAAGCAAAGTATTAGCAAGGTTGTTGACCAAAATACTTTATTTTATATCAGTTTGACTTGTGTATGGCCTGTGGTAAATCTGGAGACGTTCCCAGGAAGACATTCAATGGGAACAGTAGCTACATCAAACAAGAGATAATAGTTCTTCAGAATGATGTAGTGACAGGACAAGGGGTGATGAGTTTAAACTGAAACAGAGGAAGTTCAGGTTAGATCTAAGGAAGAAGTTCTTCCCTGTGAGGATAGTGAGGCACTGGCACAGGGTGCCCAGAGAAGTGGTAAATGCTCCATCCCTGGCAGTGTTCAAGGCCAGGTTGGACAGAGCCCTGAGTGACATGGTCTAGTGTGAGGCATCCCTACCCATGGCAGGGGGATGGGAACTGGATGATCTTAAGGTCCTTTCCAACCCAAACCATCATATGATTCTATGAAAACCAAGTGCTTTTCTTGAATAAGAGACCCCTGACTTCTGGAAGAAGCTCAGCACATATTTCCCACTCCCTGTCCGTACAGGCCCTTGTCCAAAGCCCCTCTCCAGGTTTCCTGGAGCCCCTTTAGGCCCTGGAGCTGCTCTAAGGTGTCCCCTTCAGGAGCCTTCTCTTCTCCAGCTGCCCCAGCCCAGCTCTCTCAGCCTGGCTCCAGAGCAGAGCTGCTCCAGCCAGTCCTGTTTGCCTTTGGCTGCTGCTCTGTCCCCTCTTGCATGAGCACAGCTGCTCCTACAGCCACATTGTGAACCACACTGAGGAACTGATCTGGTGAAACCAACCCAGCAGAAGAGCAGTGGTGAGGTTTCATCCAGCTCAGCTCCCCAGCCTGATTCTTGGAGCTGCTGCACAAGTCCTCCTTTATGGTGGTACAAACAACTTGCACCTATTTGCAGTGGTGCAGTGGGGATTGTCAGCAGGGAATTTGACTGCTGCTGGTGAGAGCTGAACTACAACATGGAGGGGATTTTTTTGGGGGTATTCCAACATCTTGATCAAAAACGATATGAAACACACTTAATAGAGGTTTGAAAATACCCTTAAAATAATCTTTACTTTGCCACAGAGCAGCTGCAAGCCCCTAATGAAGGATTTTAGAGCCTGTTTGAATTGGCTTTTGGGTATGTCTTTAGCTGATGGTGTCCTGGCTAAAGCTGATTATCTTTGGTCAGGAGAGGTTAATGACAGAGGTTAACTCTGAATGCGGCCTCTATAGGGTTCTGAGGAGATATGAATAATGCAATATAATATCAGGACAGAGGTTCATTTTCAGGATCTAAGTCCCTCTGTTGTCATGACCTCATATTAAAGAATGTGAACAAGAGAATTGCCCATTAACTGGGCGCTTGTTCCCTATCAGCTGGGCTAAACAGACAAGTAGAGGGACAGAAGGGAGGAGGAGAGGGGTGACTAAGTTGAAGATTTAAATAGAGATTCATTACCTGTTGGATGCTGAGTCCTGAAGTGTGCTGTGGTCTTGTAGCTCTGCATTTAACATTCCTCTTCCAGCTGCTTTGGGAGAAGTGAGACTTCCAAATTCAGGATCAATTCCAGACTTTGAAGAGTTGCAAAGAAGTCACAGACCACAGAGATAAGGACCCTGCTCATGTCCAGAGGTGCAGGTGTTGGTTATAACAGTAAAGTTTGGGAAAAACTTCATTCCATGTATTGAAAGACAAGAAACTTGTTTGGCTTTACTTGAAGGCTACTTCATCGTTACATACTACTTAAACCAGGCACACAATTGGTTTGCAATCCTAAGAAGACCTGGAGAAAGCTGCTTTCTTTGTTAGATGGTGTGTGGGCTGTTCTTAGGTCATAAAGGATTTAAAATACATATGTATGAGCATGATGATTCTATGATTCTAAGGTAGAGGATTGATCTGTGTGCTACAGAAGTTAATTAAAGGAGAGAGATGGCACATAAAACCTCTTGAATCATTTTTTTATATAGAGTTCAATGTACATTCAAAGCCACTTGTTAAGGAGTGTTTAAGTTCCATATAAAAATGGCCAATGAATCTACACAGCTTTAAAGTTAGATTTGAATTCATGTACAAGATCCATATAGCTTTTTCAAGTGAGACTTAATCTTTCTGTTGACAATCTTGGTACCAATCTCTGACAAAATAACACCGTGTAGTTCAGCAATGAACCAGCTTAGAAGTTTGTGGCTGGTTTTGTGTGGGTTTGTTTACAATTTAGAATCCCAGACTGGTTTGTTTTGGAAGGGAGCTTAAAGCTCACCCAGTCCCACCCCCCTGCCATGGGCAGGGACACCTTCTCCAGGTTTCCTGGAGCCCCTTTAGGCACTGAAGCTGCTCTAAGGTGTCCCCTTGAGGAGCCTTCTCTTCTCCACTGCCCCAGCCCAGCTCTCTCAGCCTGGCTCCAGAGCAGAGCTGCTCCAGCCCTCGCAGCAGCTCCGGGGCCTCCTCTGGCCTCGCTCCAGCAGCTCCACGTCCCTCTTGTGCTGTTCCCCAGAGCTGGATCAGGGCTGCAGGGGGGGTCTCCCCAGAGCACAGCAGAGGGGCAGGATCCCCTCCCTGACCTGCTGCTCATGCTCTGGGGGTGCACCCAGCACACGGGGGGGTTCTGGGCTCAAGCACACACTGAAGCCAGGTCATGGGGAGCTTCTCCTCACCCAACACCCCAAGTCCTTCTCCTCAGGCTGCTCCATCCAGTCTCCCCCAGCCTGTGTTTGTGCTGGGATTGCCCCGACCCAGGGCCAGGACCTTGCCCTTGGCCTGGTTGAGCTCCATGAGGTTCACACAATCCCACCTCTCCAGCCTGTCCAGGTCCCTCTGGATCCCACCCCTTCCCTCCAGCGTGTTCTTCTGCATTGTATGTGTATACTGGAGGTATGTGGGCATCTTATCTCAGCTCTGTTTTTAGTGTAACTCAGACTTGGCAGGAATGAATCCAATGGTGGGTTTGAATCTGTCACATGGATAGAAATGTAATATTCCTCTTAGAGATTTCCAGGAAGGAAAACGGAGAGATCACTGAAGTGATAATAAGTGTAGAATGTTATTCTAACACAGATGATGGCCTTCCAACTCTTACTAAAAGGCTTTTAGTACAAGCTGCAAACAGACAAGTTGCCTTTTGGTTTCAAAAGCATTTAAATCCTCTTTTGGCCAGTGTGTTTCTTTAAGGTGGATCCAGACTTAGAAGCTTTTTGGAAGCACTAGTATCCTGTAAAATGAATCTTGTGGTCAAAGGATGCACTAAACCAGTTGTTTGAGGCTTGTAGGTGGTTTGTGGTGATCCAGAAAGGATTGGCAGCCACTTGTCAACATCCCTGTGGTAGATGGGTGAGAGTAGGTTGAGAGATTGATGGGGAGGATGCGATACTGAGGGATTTGGGGAGAACTTTGTATGTTTGAAAGGGTGGTTTGCTGAGTGCTGGGTTCATCACAGTCTGTTTTAAGCCTGCATGGGTTTGCAGAGTTAAAATAAGAAGCACAGCTAAGAAATGAGGTAAGAATGACTGGAGAGTCTTTGTTAACTCGTTAAGTTTAACACTAACTTCGTAATGTTCCATATTTGTCAAGGATAAGGGTATTGTCTGCTTTGAAGCTGAGGATTTTAACCACACGTGGAAAGAGAAAGGGGGATGGAGAGAGATTGCCTCAGTCTGAGGGTTTTCATCCAAGATACAGTATTGTAGCAAGCTAACATAATGCTGAAATCACTGAAAGATTTTAGTGGCATGTTCAAGTGTATTCACTCCAAGAGAAAAAGACTCTGTTATCTGAGCAGATGGGTGCTGACAGACATCACAACTTCCACTGTGCCCATCATATTCCCTGAAAACCTGGATATGTCTTTCTGATATGATTCTATGATATGTTTTATTTAAGGTTGTGGCAGCAGTTTCCAGGGTTACTGTGAATTCAGGAAGCTTTATCCAGCCAGTTACAGCTCTGGGTTAGGTGATGGTTTATGTTGGAGCTCTTCACTAGTGCTTGTTGAACTTAGCTTTGCCTTGGATGTGTGTCCAGTGTGATGATGCAGAATACCTGGGTGGTGCTGCTGCTGTTGGATGCTCAGTGTGTCACACAGTCACTTGAAAGAGCTGGGTTAGTTGGGGTGATGTAGACAAAGAATCAGAGTGGTTTGGGTTGGAAGGGAGGTTAAAGCTTATCCTGCTCCAACCTCTGCCACGGGCAGGGACACCTTCCACTAGAGCAGGTTGCTCCAAGCCCCTGTGTCCAACCTGGCCTTGAACACTGCCAGGGATGGGGCAGCCACAGCTTCTCTGGGCACCCTGTGCCAGCACCTCAGCACCCTCCCAGGGAAGAGCTTCTTCCTTAGATCCAACCAGAACTTCCCCTGTTCCAGTTTGAACCCATCACCCCTTGTCCTGTAACTCCCCTCCCTGATAAAGGTCCCTCCCCAGCATCCTTGTAGCCCCCTTCAGACACTGAAGCTGCTCTGAGGTCTCCAGCAGCTTCTCTTCTCCAGCCTGAACAGCCCCAATGTTCTCAGCCTGTCTCCATATGGGAGCTGCTCCAGCCCCTGAGCATCCTCGTGGCCTCCTCTGGCCTTGCTCCAACAGCTCCATGTTCTTCTGATGTTGAGGACACCAGAACTGCACCCAGTGCTGCAAGTGGGGTCTCACCGGAGCAGGGCAGCTTTGCCTTGGAGGTGTTTCCAATGTTATGATGCAGAACACCTGGGTGGTGCTGCTGCTGTTGCATGCTCAGTGTGTCACATAGTCAGTCGAAACTGCTGAATTAGTTGGGGTGATTTAGACATGTAGAACAGAAAGTAGGTTTAGGATACAAGTGCGAGTAGATCAGTGTTGCTTAATCTGAGCTCATAGGTGCTGGTTGCTGCTTGCACAGACAGTTTCATAGAATCACAGACTGGTTTGGGTTGGAAAGGACCTTAAGATCATCCTGCTCCAACCCCCTGCCATGGGCAGGGACACCTCCCACTACTCCAAGTCCCATCCAAGGTTCTTCATCTGTTTTGTTTTGTTGTTTTTCCTCATTTTAGCGCCGGCTTCGCCACCTCCGGAATATCGCTGCCCGGAACATCATCAACAAGAATGGGTATCGCCTCTTGGATACGTACTTCACTCTTCACTTGTGTGATAACACCAGGATATACAAAGGTAAACCACGTCTGCTGTGGTTTTCACTACTTAATCCTTGAATTCACAAATTCTCTACCCCTTTATTGCCTTGACAACCCGCTGCCGTCTTCACATTGCTTATACTAACAGGGGAGAAGAGCTCTTTAGTTTCCTCAGCCTCCTAAAAGCTTTCAGTTAGCAGCTAAGGAAGCAAAACAGATGACAGGTTTACTAGAGCCTTGAATCAGCTTATTTTTGTACTCTGCTCTTTACCCCTCATTGATAATTTAGGAAACTTGGGAACTTCCAAGAGCACAGAACAGTTAAAGCCTTTGGAGCCTTAGTTGCTTTGTGGGGGGAGAGTGTCCTGCTCTGTGCCTACCAGTTAAGTTACAGAGCAGAAACCAGCACTTATATTATCAAAGTTTCCCAAAAATAGAATTGTCAGCCAATGACATGAAGCATCGAGGCATCTGTTCTGCTTTTGATAGCTGTGTTGGATCTCATTTCTCTTTAATCCTTTGCTTTCCACTACAGTTCTGCACTGTGGAGAGATGTTATTAAAACTATATTTTTAAACTCCTTTTTGATATGCCTAACAGTTGGAGGTGAATTTTGGTTTTCTCCTAATCTTTATTTTCAGCTAGTGTAGTTGATCCTTGCTTTTCTCCAAGGTTTTATAAGGATAAGAAAGTATAACTTGAGCTTGCTACCTTGAGGTTGGTTGAACCTCTTTCTAACTCATCACTACATCTATAGTCTCTCATGTAAGGGACTGTTCTGCACTCCATCAAAACTTCAGACCATTGCAGTCCAAGGATAAGGAATACTGTACAAAATCTATATTCCAGTCTCCAGAGCTGTCTACCTGAAGCCTTCAAGCTCCTATTTGGGCTGGAAAAGCCAAGGCCTATGTGTCAGCAGTTGCTTATTTCCCTTTAATACAGGGTTCTTGGCACCTCTGTGAGGTAGTTCGGCTCTTCACTCTCTAAGCATCTGGAACAGGTCATAGAATCATAGGATAGTTAGGGTTGGAAAGGACCTCAAGGTCACCCTTGTCTTCAGGAAAGCAGTGCAATGAGTGCTGCACTCCTCCAGGAAGATGTGGTGTGACAAGGAAGTCACTTTGCCAGTGTTATCCAGATACTGTGAAGTATTGGGGCACCCCAGAAATCAAAACCTCAGTAAATTATCTTACATATAAAGGTGAAATCGTTATATCCAACGATTATCTTGGGTATAAAGGTGAAATGCTAAATGATGACTTCTAATAGTGAAGTGTGAATGAGTATTTCTAGTCAAAAGCATGACTACATTCCCAAGTCTTTCTCATGAAGCTGTTCCTGACACACCAGACCCACTGGCATTTGTCTTTCATGAGTGTTGTTTGTTTTAGCCTTTTCTGTTTCAAATACTAAGATTTGTATCTGTGTTTAATCTAAAGGTGTTTTTTTTACTCATTTTTTCTTTAGAGTTTTATAAGAGTGAGGTGATCAAGAATTCTCTGGTGAGTTATTTTAATATCAAAACCCTTCCTTTTAAAAACCGTATTTACTGCACTGCCTTGATTTCTCTGCTGAACACCAGCACTGTTACATGTATATTTCCACTCTTCTGTTCTGGCTGGAGCATCACATTCTCCTTTTTAGGTTGTACTCCCAGGGGTTGGGGTAGTGAGTTACTGCCTAGTAGGAATGTGTGTTGATTTTAAGTCTTTTTGGCCCTCCTGCTCCTTGGAGGGCTGAACACTCCAAAGGCAGGATGTTTCCATGTGAAAACTTCAAACTAAGCTTTAAAATATACATTCATTTAAAATATTAAGAGCACCACACAGGGAAAGTACCATTAGCTGGATTTTTTTACTGGTTTAAGTCATTTCAGTACCTGGGATTTGTATGTGCCATAACTCAGGCTTGTTTGCAGCTCATCTGTTTATTTGCTGTTCTTGGTGTTAACAGAAATGGCTGCTTGGATTTAAATGTCTATTCAAGAAGCACTTGTGTGTTACTTTGGATGTACAGATTCAGAAGCTCATATTGTACAGTTGGTGTAGAAGCTGAGGCCCTGCTTACAGCACCCCAAACAAAGGGACAGTCAGTGTTGCACTGATTTCTTTGGACATCTCTGTTGTATAGGTGAATGGTAAGGAACATGGACCTGCACATATACACCTGTGTATTCATTGAAGAGCCAATAGCTTTAAGAAAGTGCAGTTGAAAACATCTTAGACTTTCTACATTTCCCATTTCAGGTCAGGGAAGGGTCCAGAACTCAGGTTCTTACAGCTGAGAAGGGGTCTTTCTAGGTGTAGGATGTTGCAGATATTGGGTAGGGGAGTTTGAAAACCTGCTAAAGAGACCTTTTAATGCCTGTATTAACAAGATAGGACAGCACCATTTATAGCCCGTGAGCTGTAAATGCTTTGAAAACCTCAATGGAGCAGAAGTGTCTACAGAGAATCAGATAATCATAGAATGGTTTGGGCTGGAAAGGACCTTAAGATCATCCAGTTCCAAGCACCTGCCATGGGCAGGGACACCTCACACTAGACCATGTCACCCAAGGCTCTGTCCAACCTGGCCTTGAACACTGCCAGGGATGGAGCATTTACCACTTCTCTGGGCACCCTGTGCCAGCACCTCAGCACCCTCACTGTAAAGAACTTCTTCCTTAGATCCAACCTAAATCTCCCCCTGTTTCAATTTGAACCCATCACCTCTTGTCCTGTCACTCCAGTCCCTGATGAAGGTCCCTCTTCAGCATCCTTGTAGCATCCTTCAGATATTGGAAGGTCCAAGATATGAATTCCATGAGAATTAAGGTTTTTGAGTTCTGCCTGTTCTAAATCAGGACAAGGAATGACAAAAAGGGAATCTACCAAAGACAATATGAGATGGAATGTCACAGGACTAAATCAAAGATGTGTTTGAGCAAATCCCATCCATTATCTATGGGTATTTTAATGATCTGTGCTGCCAAATATCCCTTTTCCTTAGGAAACTCCACAAATGCATTCCTTCTGCAGTACTTCATGGGTGGTGGGTGGCTTTGCTCCTCCCTTCTTTTCAGAGGCATCTTACTCTAAATTGCTTCACACCAGTTCAGAGATGCTTGGCCTGTTCCAAGCTGCTCAAGCTCTGGAAGGAAAGGCTTGTTCTTCCATGGGATGGTGGGTTCCCACATTAGTTTTGGAGGAGTTACCATTTCTGTGTGCAGTGGAGGAGGGAGATGTCTCTAAAAAGCACTTTCCCATTTGTGCATTAGGATACCAGTGTTTGTCTCCTGGCACTTGTAGTGTTGGGTTGATGTGGGTTGGGTGCAGCTTGGGCCAGTTACAACAGTTCCATAAATCTTTAATTCTATGTTATCAGAGACAAGTGGAAGTTCTTGGAGTGCCTCCTGTTTGCAGATGTGAGTTGTAGGGGAATAGATGTTAGCAGTTCAGCATGCTGGCTTTATAAAGCAAGTCTGATCTCCCTTGGGGTGAAGAGGTGCTCTTAGAGCCAACATTTGAGGGTTGCAATCAGCATCAGGCAAGGAGGAGAAGAATGTGAGCAAATGTGTCAATAATGCAAACTGAATCATTGGGGAATAGACCAGCTCTTTAAACTTAACTTCTGCAATGTAAACTGTACTCAGAAGCTCAGTTAGTACTTGGAATGTCACTTCCAGTTGTGAAGTTCCTGATTTCCTTAAACTGAATGAGTAAATTCTTCAACATTTCATGATGGAAGGAAGCAGAGGGCACTCTGAGTTTCTGAAGTACTTTACAGCATGAAGCTTTTAACCCAGGGATTCCCTCTAGAAACAGGCTAAGGAAGCAACAGAGCCTTTTGGCTTCAGCTCTGTGTAAACCTTGAAATGGCTGGTGTTTGTTATTCACATATATATATATATATA